AAATGATAGAACATCACTATTTTGTGACTCCTAATGAATAATCATAATGGCATTTACATGGAATAAGCAAAAAAGGCAAAATCTATAAAGATAGAAAGTAGGCTACAGAGGTGGGATGGTAACAGGAATGGGGATTAACAGAAAATGAGCATGAGATATCTTACTGAGGTGATGGAAAATGTTCCCAAACTCTTGCATAACTCAGTAAATTTATCCAAATTCACTGAACTCTACATTAAAAGGGGCAAGTTTTATAATACACAAATTATACCTCAATAAAACTTAAAATAATCATAATGGCTATTATTACAAAAAGAGACAATCAGGAATGTGCCTCTTGACAAAACACACCACCACTATAACATAGTCATGTACCACTTAAGGAGAGAATACATCTGAGAAATGCATTAGGCAATTTCATCATTGTGCAATCACCACAGAATGCACTTACACAAACCTAGATGGCATAACTCACTTCACCCCTGGCTACATGGTGTATAGCCTATTGCTCCCAGGCTATAAACCTGCACAATATATTACAGTACAAAACAACACAAGATAAATCAAGCACAAAAGGATGCAATCAAGAGATTTAGTCAACACCAGATGTATGAGGCTGTTGCAGGTGTAACACGACATACTATTTGACAGCAAACTTTTTTATAAGTAGAAAGGTATCTCTAAAATAACAGTAAAATGTATAGTATAGTTAAGTACATAAACCAGTAAGATAGTTGTTCATTATAATTAACAAGTATTATGTACTGTACATAATTGTAAATGCCATACTTTTTATTTTTTTAATCCTCACCCAAGGACTCAAGAGAGAGAGAGGGAGAGAGAGAAACATCAATTGGTTGCCTCCCGTAAGCGCCCCTACCAGGGATAGAACCCTGGTATGTGCCCTGAACAGGAACTGAACCACAACCTTTCTGTGTACTGGATGACCCTCCAACCAACTGAGCCACACTGGCCAAAGCTATATGCTATACTTTTATATGACTGGCAGTGCAGGTTTGTTTACAGCAGCATCACCTCAAACACATGAGTAATGTGTTTCACTTCAATATAAGGCCAACCGTGATATCACTAGGTAGTAGGGGTTTTTCCCTTTCCTTATAATCTTATGGGACTACCATAGTATATGGGACCCACCAGTGACCAAAATGTTACGTTGCACATGACTGTAGTTTTGCCAAAAAACAAAACAAACCTAATTTGAATCTGACCACACCTCTAGATTTAACTATCAATTTACAGGAAATATAGAGGACAAAGGGACACATTAAGTAACACCAGCCATGGCAGGGTGGCTCAGTTTGTTGGAGCATCGTCCCAATATGCCAAGGTTGTGGGTTCGATCCCTTTTCAGGGCACATACAAGAGTCAGCAAATGAATGCATAAATAAGTGAAACAATAAATCTATATTTTAAAAAAAAAAGACAAAAAGAAATGCAATCAGCAAAATCCAGAAACTACTGTGTAAGTCTAAAGAACCACCCATCTTCAACAAATTGCAAAAAATAAAAGACTAGCCCCTGGCTGGGTGGCTCAGTTGGTTAAAGCGTCATCCCAATACGCCAAGGTTGCAGGCTCAATCTCTGGTAAGAGCACATACAAGCAGCAACCAATGACTGTATAAATAAGTGGAACAACAAATCAATGTTTCTCTCCCTTCCTCTCTCCCTCTAAAATCAATAAATACATGCCCGGCCGGGCATGGCTCAGCGGTTGAGCGCCGACCTAGGATCCAGGCGATGAGTGTTCGATTCCCGGTCAGGGCACATGCCCAGGTTGTGGGCTCGATCAATGACTCTCTCATCCTTGATGTTTCTCGCTCTCTCCCCCTCTCCTTTCCTCTCTCTGAAATCAATAAAGATATATTTTTTAAAAAATAATAAAATAAAATCAATAAATACATATTTAAATTTTAAATAAAAGTAAAAGACTCAGGAGACCTATCAACCGATCAAAGGGGGGAGAGCGGGAAGAGATTAATCAAGAACTTATGTGCCTATATGCATAGCCCATGGACAAAGATAGTGTGGGGAAGGCTTGGGGAGGGGCGAGGAGCCGGGTGGAGGGAGCCAACAGGGGAAAAAAGAGACATCTGTAATACTTTCAACAAAAAGGATTAAACCTATTATAAAAAAAAAAAAACAAAAAACTTCAATGGATGGGTTTAAAGGCCNAAACTTTTTTTTTTTTTAAATGTATAGGCCTTAGTTGGATCCTGCTTTATAAACTGTTGGAGGGTGGAGGGGAGCTATCACATTTTTTTAGACCATTAGAGGTCTGAACAATGAATGGCTGATTTTATTTTTTTGTTTTGGGGTCTTGTGAGGGTTCCCCGCCTTTTTTGGTGTTACATTATATTGTGGCTATGGTTTTTAAAAGGGAGTCTTTACCTTTTAGAGATAACGCAAAATATAGGTGATTGATACTAAATGTGGGGTTCTGCTTACAAATAACAGTGGAGAAAACTCCTCATAACTTTTTACAATGATGTTTTCCTCTACATTTTACAGATAAGAAACTGAAATTCAGAGACATTAATTTAAAAAGGCAGCATCATACCCTGGGTGGGTGGCTCAGTTGGTTAGAGCGTTGTCCCATTCACCAAAAAATTGTGAGTTCAGTTCCCAGTCAGGGCACACCCCTAGGTTGTGGGCTGGTTCACAAGTTGGGAGGCAACCAATTGATGTTTCTCTCTCTCTAAAAATCAATGAAAACATGCCCTCAGGTGAGGATAAAAAAAAAAAAAAAAAAAAAAGGAAAT